GGCTTGATGATAGGCCTTGAAGTTGTTTTATTTTTTGAACACATCTGCCTACACCCACCTCCAGCATCCACCACCACAGACACTCAAGCTGACGGGGTGAATGGTTTCATGTCCACATACACACACATGGTCACAGTGGAATTACAAGAAATCCCCAATCCAGGGAAATTAGGCCGTAGCAAATGTATTTGTACACATGCACCTAAACATTGGTTTTTTCTTAAACTCTAATTCTTGCCTCAATAATGAAAACAAAGAGAATAATAATATAATACTGAAAACAGAATATGTAATAATGTCATATAAGATAATTATAATATATAATAATAGTTCATACTTATTTAGTTTCAGGCACTATCCAAACCTCTTTCCTCACATTAACTAGCTTACTTCTCATAAAAATTCCATGAGGTGAGGCCACATTTTTATCTCCATTTAAAAGATCAGACAAAGAACCTAAGTTTGAGTTTCAGTGCCTGAACTAGAAATACAACTAGTCAGAAATGAGAGCAGGGGCCAGCACTGTGGCGCAGTGAATTAATGCCCTCACCTGCAGTGCTGGCATCCCATATGGCTACTGGTTTGAGACCCGACTGTTCCACTTCTGATCCAGCTCTCTGCTGTGGCCTGGGAAAGCAGTGGAAGATGGCCCAAGTGCTTAGGCCCCTGCACCCACATGGGAGACCCAGAAGAAGCTCCTGGCTCCTGGCTTTGGATCAGTGCAGCTCAGCTGTTGCGGCCAATTGGGGAGTGAACCAGCGGATATGGAAGACCTCTCTCTCTCTCTCTGCCTCTCCTCTCTCTGTGTAACTTTGACTTTCAAATAAATAAAGAAATGTTCCCCTGGGCCTTTGTAGCCACCCCTTGTGTTTGAATTGCCTTCCCTTGTCCTTCCGTTTCTGCTTAGCCCTTCCACCACCCTGCTTCTGCAGCCCCAGGCACACCCTCAGCTGCAGGTTCTTGGCCCTCGCCCACCTTCCTCTACAATTCGAGAGGGTTTTTTTTTTTTTTTAAGAACTTGTTTATTTGAGAACAGTTTTAGATTTGGAGAAAGTTTGTGAAAATAGTTCAGAGTTCTCACACACCCCACATTCCGTTTTCCCTATGATTGATATCCATTTAACAAGCCAAGTGACACAGTTAGAAAGCCAACATTGGCATACTATTTAACTGAATTCCATAAACTTATTCAAGTTTCCTTGACTTGTATCAAGAGCCTACTTTCTGTTCCCGAGTCCCAGCAGAATCCCACGTGCTGTCTCCTTAGGTTCCTCTCGACAGCAACCGTTTTCAGACCTTCCCTGGTTTTTAATTATCTTGGCAGTTTTGAGGAATACTGGTAAGGTATTTGTAGAATGTCCCTCAGCTGGAATCTGTCATATTTTGCTGATGATTAGAATGGGTTTTGAGGAAGAAATCCCAAAAAGATAAACACCAAAGAGGTTAAAAAAAAACAGTCATTCTCACGGCTGCCATTGGCCTAGCTGTTGAGACACCGGTTAGGACATCGACATCCCACACTGGAGTCCTTGGGTTCCATTGCTGGCTCCGCCTCCTTATTCCAGCTTGCTGCCAACGCAGACCATCGAAGGTAGCAGTAATGGTTCAACACAGCCACTTTAAGAAAGTCTGCCCTGGTAAACGGTTGACTTCCGTTCACAACCCAGTCTTGTGCTGTGGACTTCAAATGGTCAGCTGTGTGGGGCACCTGCTCCTAAGTGATGGGACAGTAAGAGGAGCTTTACCTAGGAATCGGCATCAGTCTTCCTGTGACCTGTTCCGAGGGCAGCTGATGGGTAGTCAGAGGATTAGTTAATTGGCCCAGAGTCTGTCAAGCTACCTGGAGATGCCAAGCTCTAGCCAACGACCAATGACTCCACCTTTTCAGAAAACAAAACTGCCCCCAACTTCTGCCAGTGGCCAAAGGCCATGAGTAAACCAAGAGCCAGCAACCTCATGAGCTGGAAGGAATCTGAAGTAGGTTCAGGTCTGGTGCTTTCTCTAATGTTTATGTCCACTATCTTAGTCCATTCCTGCTGCTATGACAAAATGCTTGTGACTGGGTAATTTGTAAGAAGATACACCTATTTGTCCACAATTCTGGAGACAGTGAAGTCCAAGGTTAAGCATCAACAGGTTTGGTATTTGGTAAGGGCTGCTCTCCACCTTGTGCAGCCTCTGGAGGGTGAACACTGTTCCCTGCAGCCCTTTGATAGGGCACTAATCCTACCTGTGAGGGCAGAGCTGTGATTGCCTAATCACGGGCTAATGGTCCTACCTCTTAACACTTAACACCACAGCACTGGGGATCAAGTTTCAATATGAAGTTTCAAGCCATCACATCAACCTCAGCAGATCAATGTTATGATTTAACAATCCCTGAAGAGTTTACTGTCTTGTCCTGACTCCTGGCTATGTGGAATTGCATTGCTTGCACAGGGTCTGAGGCCACGAGGCTGAGAATTCATGTAGATCTTAAGAGCAAATGTCCTTCCTTGTTGTAGCTGTAATGAGCTTGGGAGGGTTAGGATGCTTCTTCAGTTCTCTGGGTGTAGTGGGAGGGTTCGCAGGTCAAGCCCTGGGCCCCTTCCTACAATGACAAAACTTGTTTGATGTTTCTTGGACAGGTGAACTATGGTTTTAGTCATTTGAATAAAAGTACCATGAAGACCAGGATTTTTCTTCTTTCTCTCTTGCTGCCATTTACTGTCCCTAGAATAGTGTTAGGCCTACAGCTAGAAGTTTATCACAAGTGATTAAGCAAATAAATTATTATATTTGAAGCTTTCTCTCTCAGGCTTCTCCCTGTTTGGAACATTCTTGTCCAGAGTCACCTGGTTCAATTCCTCCCTGTAGGTCTTGTAGGCTCAAAAGCCAGCTCCAAGGCTGGTGCCGTGGCTCACTAGGCTAATCCTCCGCCTAGCAGCGCCGGCACACTGGGTTCTAGTCCCAGTCAGGGTGCCAGATTCTGTCCCGGTTGCCCCTCTTCCAGGCCAGCTCTCTGCTGTGGCCAGGGAGTGCAGTGGAGGATGGCCCAAGTGCTTGGGCCCTGCACCCCATGGGAGACCAGGAGAAGCACCTGGCTCCTGGCTTCAGATCAGCGCGGTGCACCAGCCGCAGCGCACCGGCCGCGGAGGCCATTGAGGGGTGAATCAACGGCAAAAGGAAGACCTTTCTCTCTGTCTCTCTCTCTCACTGTCCACTCTGCCAGTAAAAAAAAAAAAAAAAAAAAGCCAGCTCCACAGAGACATCTCCCCGATGACCCTCCCTAAAATGATTACCTTCTATCATTTTTATTTTTCTTTGCTTGATTTTCCCCTGTAACTTTTGTACACAGAGTGCTTAAAAAACTTCTTGGAGGGGCCCACAAAGCATAGTAGATTAAGCTGCTGCCTGAGACACAGGCATCCCACAAGGGCCTTAGTTCAAGTCCTGGCTGCTCTAATTCTGACCCAGCTCCCTGCTAATGCACCTGGGAAAGCAGTGTAAGATGTTCAAGTCCATAAGCCTCTGCCACCCACACAGGAGACCCAGTTGAAACTCCAAGCTCCTAGCTTCAGCCTGGCCTAGTCCCAGGTGTTGCAGCCATATGGGGAATGAACCAGTGGATAGAAGATTGATGTTTCTCTTTCTCTTTCTCTCTCTCTCTCTGTAACTCTTTCAGATAAATAATACATAATTTTTTAGGTTCATGGAAAATGGAATGAGATGTTTATTTTGATGCAAAAAGAAACTGAAGTCCATGCAGCTTTTACCCAGTGCACATTTCCTGTGAACTCTGGAAGACCCCTCGTAGTCATGAGTTCCCTGTTGCTCTCCCCAGGGATGAGACCCTGCAGGCAGAGCAGCCGTCTCCTGCGCATTGCTGTGTCCCTGGCACCTAGAACAGCATTTGGCAAGAGTCAGCACTCTATAACCACTCTGATAGGTGAGATAGTAGGTGAATGAATGCATCATCCGTGGGAAGAGCTTAGCACAGTGACGGGAACATACCGAGTGACAGATAAATGCTTGAAGGGTGTTGATGGTGACACTCAGACGCGACTGTCAGACTGCTACACTGCGAATTGGCTTTGGACAACCCTCAGTGTATGCCCTGGAAGGTTGGCAAGGGTAAAAGGCTGTCCTCCGACCCGACCTGTCCTTCCTCCTTGTCACCAACAGACACTCTAAAACAGTACTTTTACCAACTTTTACACTTCTCCCTCTTGGTGTACTTATGAAAAGGCACTAGGATAGCTCATCCTCTTTTCTCAATTCTTGAATTAAAATATTTCCAGATCATTTACACTAACATGTAAATGACTAACAGCCATATTATCCCTGCATCCCATTCCATCCCAGCCACCTGGTTTCCCGGCTTCTGAACTTACATCCCTTTGCTGTCATTTGTGCTATCGTGGGCCAACCCTCCTCCATCCTGATCCATTTCACTCCTAAAGATGCTCTCAGCGCCGGCTTTACCTCTCCGTGTAGCTCAGCTTCATATTTTCCAGTTTTTCCTCCTCTCCCTGGCTTTCCACGCAGCTTCCTCCTCCTTCCCTTAGAGCCCTCCTCACAGGGCACTGTGTGGAGCCAGGCCTCCCTCTCAGCCCAGAAATGAACTCTGGGATAGCAGGGGTCCTGCCGGGGGCAGGAAGGATAGGTGGTTCTGATTTGACCCAGTAGAGAGGGTTCCGCAGGGCTGCAGACTTGGCTGCCAGAGCTCCTAGGTTCTGGTCCTGCCTCTCCCTTTCAATTTGTGAGACCTGACAGTGACTACATCACAGCATGCCAAAGATGCGCCATCGGAACACAGAGATGGAATTACCACGTCTCTAAGGATCAACCACCACAGTCCAATGGATGGCTCTACGAAGACAGGAACTCTGGAACGGGGCAATGCAGGGGATGACATGGGATGGGCGGGGAAACAGAAGTCACTCTCTGCTGTTCCACCCACAGGGATTCATTGATGAGATCATGTGGGACCAGACACAGAGACACAGACACTGGGTGAATGCATTTTGAAAGAGATCCTGAGTTTATTATGCTTGTGAATTCAGCAGGAAGTGCAGGTGTCTCCCTGAAATCACCAGGCTGACTCCTTCAGCTCAGAGACAGCACTGGGGGCCCAGGGGCAGGCGCCCAGGTCACAGCCTCTGCCAACCACACCTCAGGAAGTGAGCATCAGCAAAGGGCAGGACACAGACTCTGTCCCAACACTGCCCTGCACTCTCCTAACACAGGCATCCCTGCCTGATGGGAACCTGGGATCTGCACACACACACACAGGAGCCTAAGACACCACCTGCCTGAAGCACCTGCTCTTCTCCCCCAGGAGGAAGACTGGGGCCGAGGGCGACGCTGCAGAACAAGCTGCGGGAGGCCCGTCACTCCCGGGTCATCTACTGGGACTTCTGCTGGAACCAGTGCTCGTCCTCCTGCTGGGCTGGCTGTGTCTGGTGCTGCTGGCACTCCTGGTCCTGCTGCTCCCTCTGTTGGTCCTCCTGGTCATCCCACTGATCCCACTGCTGGTTCTGATGTTTGTTCTGTTGAACCTGCTGGTCCCGCTGATCCATGTGCTGGACCTGCTGCTTCCTCTGTTGGTCCTGCTGGTCTACCCACTGAGAGGTCTTCCTGGCTTTGATGCCTGATGTAGTTACACAACTGGGCTTAGCAGTGGTCGTGACTTGTGTCTGGACTGGGCTTGCAGTGGTGGTCTCTGGGATCTCTACTGACTCTGTAGGGGAGGTCTCTTGGGCCTGGTTTGGAGTGGTAGGAGCAGGTCTTCTCCCTTTGATCTGCTCTGTAGGGACATTCTCTTGGGCTTGTTTTGGGGTGGTATGAGTGGTTCCTCTGCCCTTGATCTGCCCAGTAGTAGGGGTGGTCTCTGCAATTTGCACCTGCTCTGTGGTGGTGATCTGCTTGGTCTTGACTGCCTCGGTAGGGAAGGGCTCCTGTCTACGTGTCTTGCAGCCAACCAGAGTGGAGCTCACCAACTTGAGATTGGATTCTGGATACTTCTTACGACACACTCTGGTCTCCAGGATGGCCTTGGAGTCTTCACAGATATATTTTTGGCGGCTCAGGTGCCAGGTAATCTGTGTCCAGTAGATAGTAGCATTATCCAAACAATGTAGGCACGCAGCTGGATCCCCCACGAAGACACAGGAAAACACATGATCCAGTCGGATGCAATCCACCTGCAGAGAGACGTTCTCTTGTTTAGTCACAGTCATGTTGCATTTGGCTTGGTCTCTGGTGATAAACCCGCCGGTGACTATGACCCGGGGTAGGGAATCTTCAGGCATACTTGGTGGCTTCCCCGGAGTGACCTGTGGACCCCTGTCTGATAGTCTGTTACGTCCACTCTTTACTCCATTGTGGGCCTCCATCAAGAGCTCCCGAGAGGCCAGGAAGAGAAAGGAGAGCAAACCAAGGCTGCAGATCTTCATGGCTCAGCTGGGTGGGCACCTGTTTGATAAAAGGCAGGGGTTAGTGCCGAGCAGCAGGGGTGCAGGGCTACAGGCTGGCCTCCCTCCACCCTGCCGCAGGCCTACCTGCTTAGGTAGACCAAGCATCCTCTGGCTCCTGGCATGACAGGACAAGCAGCCCAACTGTCCCCATGTCTCCCCTGTACCCAGGTGGCCTTGGAGGCCATCTCCCACTGCCCATCCCTGGCGCAGGCCTCTGAGGCCGTGGCGGGAGCCGTGGACACTGGGAGGAGGTGCCATTTCCAAGAGGGAAGACACTGCTGGTGCCCCTGGAAAGAGGCAAAGAGGTGAGGCCAACGGCCCCGCAGGCCACACCCTTCAGGGTGACCTGGCAGAGGGGAAGGGACCCTCAAGGTAAGCGGTAGAGGAATTTGGAAGCCGTGGGTGGGTCCCGGCTTCCTGAAGAAGACTCTGGGGCTGGGCCCACCAACTCACGGGAAGCCACTCTAGGCCGGTGGGCAGTCTGTGTGCGGACCAGGGAGGGAACGCGTAGGAGAAGGAAGCAGACATCATTGGAAGTACCAGCAGCCCTGCCTGCACGCTGAAGGCTTCGCCGGTGAGCTACCCACGGCCCCCATGGCCCACCGCCCTCCTGTTCTGCAGTGCCCGTGGCCGACGTTTGCTCACAGTGGGCCCGGGCAGTCCCGTGGGCCTGGGCACGGCGCTGCAGCCCGGGCCTCCAGAACACCGGAGGAGCCGTCGGGGCTGGGTGCGGGCGCAGCGCACCTGCAGTCGTTGCTGAGGAGGGCAGAGGGCTTTGGGCCATTGCAGACAGAGGGGGCGCGGACTCGCACCTTGCAGCGCCCGCGGCTTTAAGCAGGGCGCCGAACCTAAGGACAGGGGCTGCGCTTCCAGGAAGTCCTTCCCGTCACGTTTGCTCAGGTCCAAAACCCTGGAGCAAAGCAAGAGGCAGCGGCATCTGGAGCTCACAGAGCCGCCTGTGGCCACGCAGGCCCACGGGGAGTGGGCAGGGGCAGGGGCAGGGGCAGGGAGGAGCTGGCAGGAGCCGGCACCTGGAGCACGCCGAGCCTGCAACCTCACACTGTCGCCGTCCACCAGGCTCGGGCGCCTTGAAGCTGAGAAATCTTCACTAACAAAACTCGCTCTCGCCTTCCAGACCCGGGGGAGACAGCTGTGCCCGTTTTACAGCCAGGAAGCTGAGCTGTAAGATAGTGAAAATTTCCCCTAAGATAAGTCCACGCGGTCACCGATACTGACAAGATAGGCAGCAGCGGGCGCTCCCGCATTCCGGGAGCGGCTGGAAGCCCTGCCTGCTTCCATCTCCCAGCGGCCGGGATGGGCTCATCCACACTGAGACAAGAAGCTTGGGAGGCTGGGGCGGACAGCAGGACAGCAATTCCTCCTCCACAGCTGGGACCCGGGGCCGAATCGCACCCGCCACGGAGTGATGCTCAGAGGAGAGCCAGACAGGACGCACTGAGCAGGTGACCGCCACACACAGAGTGGATGGAGACCCTTCGTATTATTCTGTTGGGGATGACGTGTCCTTCCCACACACTGAGCAACTCTCTCCCTCCAGACTTCTTTAGAAAAACAGACCTTGGAGTAATTTTGTATTGAGAGAAAACTTAAAGATCTTCTCCTGCCTCACCCCCCATCTCGGGATCGCCCACGTCAGCCTCTTGAGCTCAAACAGTGCATTCACAAGTACTGAAGCAGTATTGATACGTTATTATTAAAGTCCATACTTTATTTGGACTTTTGTTCGTTTATACGTAGTGTTTCTTTTTATTCCTAATAGACTGACTTTTAAAGCAGTTTGAGGTTTGCAGGCAAATTGAGCAGGAAATAGTTTTCAGGGATTCCCCTGACTCCACATAGTACAGCATCCCCCACTGTCAACATCACTCCCCAGAGCGGTATTTTTAAGTTTATGTGTTTGGGGTTTTTTTAGTTTTAGCATTTAACAATTTCTGGCATTGTGCCACATCCATGTGTAGACATTATATACATACACGTATATACTAATTCTTCTTGAAGACATTAATACCACAATGTGAGGGGTTCATGACAATGATCAAATGTGTGGAAAGAAGGGCATATTTCATTCACCTGGTATGACTCACTGAGGCAATGCCAATATACCATCCACACAATTTTTATACTCCATATATGTATCAACTTCCACAAATAAAATGTGATATTTTGTCTTTCTGGGTCAGACTGATTTCATTTAACATAATGTTTGATCGCCATCCAGTTCCATCCATTTTCTTGCAAATGTCAGGATTTCATTCTTTTTATGGCTGTATAATATTCCATCACGTCTATATACCACATCTTCTTTATCCAGCCATCAGTTGATGCATAATTGTGTGACAATCCACAACCCTGTATCGAGAGGGCATGGTCACCAAAAGTCTTCATTTCAATTCTTGATGTTGCCCATTCTCTGAGTTCTGAAACACAGCCTGACCCCCATCCACCACTGCAGAACCCAGGGGGTGGATTCGCTGCCTTAGCATCCCTGTGTGCTTCACCCACTCATCCCTGCCTCCGCCCCACCCCTGGCAACCCCTGACCTTGGTACTATCTCCATAGCCTCGCTTTCCACGAAGTCCTGTAGTCGCAATAAAATAGAGTGCAGCCTTTTAGGATATTTCTTTTACCTAAGAATATACACTCAAGTTTTCTTTGTGGCTTGATAGTTCCTTTATCTTTAGCACTGATAGTAAATACCTCAGTGTCTGAATGTATCATGGTGTATAAGCTCATCTATTAAAGGACATCTTGGTTGTGAGCAAGTGCTTATGTGGTCCTAAGTTTTAACTCATTTTGACAAATGCCAGGGAACAAGATTGCTGGATCAATTAAGATTTGTAAGAAGCCACCACGGTATCTTGCCACCTGGCTGTGTTCTGCATTCTCACCAGCAGTGAATGAGCGCTCCCACGGATCCACATGCCACCAGCATACGGTGTTGCCAGTGTTTTGCATTTTGGCCACTCATACTGGTAGGTATGAGTGTCATTTCACTTTGCAGTGCCCTATGCGTACAATACAGAGCGCCTTTCTGTTTGCTTCTTTGCCATCGTCCTAATTCATGAGGTGTCTCTCAGATCTGCTGACTGTTATAACTGAGTTGTTTCCCCTTGTTCGTTACCAGCCCTTTATTACATGTGGTTGCAAAGATTTTTGCCCAGTCCACGGTTTGTCTTTTTATTCTTAGTGTCTTTGATGGAAAAGAATTTTTTTTTATTTTCATTAAGTCCAGCTTATTTTTTTCCTCTCATAAATGATGTTGTTAGTGGCATATAAAAAAAGTCATGGGGCTGGCACCGTGGCGTAGCGGATAAAGCCGATGCCTGCAGCTCCGGTAGCACATATGGGCACTGGTTCGAGTCCTGGCTGCTTCACTTCTGATCCAGCTCTCTGCTATGGCCTGGGAAAGCAGTGGAAGATGGCCCAGGGCCTTGGGCCCCTGCATCCATGTGGAATACCAGGAAGGAGCTCCTGGCTCCTGGCTTCGGATCAGCGCAGCTCCTGCCATTGTGGCCATCTAGGGAGTAAACCAACAGATGGAAAAACTCTCTCTCTCTCTTTGCCTCTGCTTCTTTGTAACTTTGCCTTTCAAATAAATAAATAAATCTTCAAAAAGTCATTATCAAACCCAAGGTCACCTTTTTTTTTTAACTTTTATTTAATGAATATAAGTTTCCAAAGTACGAATAATGGGTTACTATGGCTTCCCCCCCATACCGTCCCTCCCACCCACAACCCTCCCCTTTCCCACTCCCTCTCCCCTTCCATTCACATCAAGATTCATTTTCGATTATCTTAATATACAGAAGATCAGCTTAGTATACATTAAGTAAGGATTTCAACAGTTTGCTCCCACACAGAAACATAAAGTGAAAAATAATGGATGATTTTTTTTAATGATGATGAAATCAGATCAGACCTATTGTCATGTTTAATCCCAGTGAGAGTCAAGTTGGGAGTTGATAGTTTCTTTTCTTTTCTTTTTTTTTTTTTTCAGAGGATCAGTTTACTATGCATTAAGTAAAGATTTCAACAGTTTGCACACCCGTAGAAACACAAAGTGAAATATATTGTTTGAGTACTCGTTATAGCATTAAATCTCAATGCACAGCACATTAAGGACAGAGATCCTACATGAGGAGTAAGTGCACAGTGACTCCTGTTTGTTGACTTTACCAATTGACACTCCTGTCTATGGCATCAGCAATCCTCCTATGCTCCAGTCATGAGTTTCCAAGGCTATGGAAGCCCCTTGAGTTCTCCGACTCTTATCTTGTTTAGACAAGGTCATAGTCAAAGTGGAGGTTCTCTCCTCCCTTCCAAGGTCACCTTAATTTCCTCCTATGCTGTCTTCTAGGAGTTCACAGTTTTGTGTTCTACATTTGGGTCCATGATTCACTTTGAGTATGATCCGATTTTGTCCCCTCTCTATTAGTGGTTGCCCCAAAAGCTACACACGCACAGTCCTAAGACGGCACCACCTCGTGGGTAGTGCAGATATCCTAGAGGACACCAGTTCCTCCCTCCCTTCCTTGTTGACATTGCTGCCACCCATTTCACTTACCCCAGGTGATATCATCATCACCCCATACGTTGTTACCTGTTATTTCAAAATGAAATGTCACTTAGATCGAGTAAAGAGAAGAAAAATAGGTTTTGTTTTATCTTCATTTATTGCTCCTCTGTCACTCTTATTTTTAAAATTTTTTATTTTCATTTTATTTGAAAGAGAGACAGACACAGACAGGGATCTCCCATCTACAAGTCCACTCCTCAAAAGCCCACAACAACCAGAACTAGGCCAGGTCAAAGTCAGAAACCCAGAGCTCAATTTAGATCTCCCATATGCGTGGCTGGGACCCAAGAACTTGAGTCATTACTGCTGCCTCCTAGGTAAGCATTAGCAAGAAGCCGGACTGGAAGCAGGGGAGCTGGGACTTGAACCGGACATTCCAGTATGGAATGCAGGTATCTTAA